CCCCCCCTCCTCTCTGCTACCAACGCTCACCGGCCGACGTCCTCTTGCTGCCGCCCGCGGTCGTCGGACGTGTTTGCACGCGAACCGTCCACCCGCACCCGCTTTCCGTAATAATCTCGCTGGCGTCGCAGGCTCCGTGCTCCCCGCTTCTCTAGACCGTCTTCCCTAATCCTCAGCCGCGAACCTGCTCCTCCTCCTGTAACACCAAACCATCTCTGCAGCCGAGCCGTCATCTCTTCCTTGCACACGGGGCGTGACGAACAGCAGCACAGCCGTGCGTGCGTGCGTGCCGACGACGGAGCCATCATCTTCTCTCGATCCGTCGGCCACTCGTGCTCAACGGGTACGCCCGTGCGCGTGCGTTTCATCTCCCCTTCGTTTCTCAAGTGTGTCGTGATCGAAAAAGGTAACAGACAGGCAAGAAGGAAGAGTGTGGGGGGTGCGGGGTTGCGTGGAGAGGGTGATAATGTGACAGAAGCTGAAGGTGAGCCGTGGCATGCAGTCACGCCGGGGCAGGATGCGGGACGGCTAAAAAGACAGTTTGAGAGAAGAGTGGACGGGCGCCAAGCGGTGGCGGGACAGCCTCGTGCGTGCCTCCGGTTTGTTTACTTGGCGGCGGGGGCGTCCTTGAACGAGAGGCAGTGCTCCTCGCCCATGGCCGAGACGATGGTGACCATGAGGTCCTTGCCCTCGTCGAAGCCGGCCTGGATCTGCTCGCCGAGCTCGCCCTCGGGGACCTTGACGTCGTCCTTGGTGTCACCGTCGTTGTTCATCAGGTTGAGGAAACCGTCGTCTGCGCGCAAGGTAGGTTGAGGCGGGATCATGGTTAGCAAAAACGTGGCACCGAGGCAAGACCCAAAGTAAGTGGCGCGCGTGCGTGTGTTTGTCGGCGAGGTGCAAGGAGTCCGAGGATCCCGCGTACCGTGGCCCCGCCCGATCCATGCCAGCGTGCGTCGAAGGGGGCACGACTGGTGTTTGCAAACACCTCGCTCCGCCGTCGATGTCCAACGAAGAGCCTCCGCGTCGATACTCACCAATGTTGATGAGCTGGTACTCGCTGCGGGTGACGTTGGGGACGTCCATGTTGTGGGTCGAGGGGGAGATGTCCTCGTACTTCTTCTGGGTGAAGATGTCGGTGGCGACGAGGTGGACCTTGGCGTGACCGTGCTTGCCGGTCTTGGAGGTCGACATGTCAATGATCTGCGCGAGGAGGGGAAGCGATGCATGGGGGATGAGCTCGGCGTCAGCATCGTGGGCCCATTCGAGTTCGGGGATGCATCGTTGCTGATCCACGCTTCGCCATCTGGGCGAGGGCCTCATCCTCATTTGCTGTCTTGGCGAGTCGGCATCCTCTGCACTGGCTTCCCAGCGACCCAACGTCCCCTGATTCTCATCGCTCAATCTCTGTCGACTGGTATGCTCACCTTGCAGGGGCGGCCCTTGATGACGACGTGACCGTTCTTGCGCAGGGCAGAGCACTGCATGGGGAAGGTCAGCGAGGCGCCGGCGTGGGCGGTCTCGAAGTTGACATTGTGGGCCTCGTCGTCGGATGCGGACTGTGTGGACAGGTCGACAGAAGTGACAGGCAGGTCGAGACGAGACGGGACGACACTCGTTTAGCAAATGGCTCGAAGGGGTGCGGGCAAGCAGGGCCGGTTGCACTGCGCATCAGGGTCGTCGTCCCCGCTTCATCTTTCTCGCTGCTAGCCCGTCGCGGCGGCAGACGTGCTGCTTTGCGAGGAAGGAGCGAGGACGATGGCGACAGTGAGAGTCGCCACTCACCATTTTGAAAAAAGGAGATGGGGGTGATCTAGAGGAAGGATGGAATGCAGGAGGATGACGGTGTGAGGATGGTGGGGACGACGGACGGGAGAAGAAGAACTTTTTTTCGGAATTCGACTGGGGCCCAGAGGCGCTAGAGCAGCCAGAGGGCCAGGCAAACGGCCAGCCAGGCAGCGGCGGGCCTCTCATCTCGCTCGCCTCCGTCACAGGGGAGCAGCGAGACAGGGCCGGGCAGGCGGGCGATCCCAGGCCAGGCCAGGCCAGCCCAGCAGGCAGGCAGACGACCCCCCCATCCCCAATTCAAATCCAAGAATCGCAGCAATACAAACCCGCTGCCAGCGTTTCCCGCCCGGGCTCAACGCCCCCGGCCGTTTGAATTTTGTATTTCCCCCCCGGTGCCTTTCCGCCCAGGCCAGGCGCGGATTTGAAACCCCAAGCTGGGGCGGCGTGGCCTGGCCTCGTTCTGTCCACGCCGGCCCTTGCCCTCCTCGTGTGACGGCCAGGCCCGGCACCGGGCGTGGGCTGCCTTTCTCTTCTCTCTCGCTGCCGTGCGAGGCCTGTCGTTGCAGGAGCACCGTACCGTTGCCTGGCCTACCATGGTCCGGTCTGCATGCCAGGCTCCCCTCGCTCCGTACCCATCGTCATGGCGAGTGGCGGCGAGTGGCCATTGTGGCGAGCCTGGTCCAACCCAGCGGCGGGTGTCGGGGGGCCCAGGCTGCAGCCCGTCAGCCAGGGGGCCCGCTGGACGGAAAGTGGGCTGCGGCAGATCTGCCTCTCGTCCGAAAAGAAAACAGGCGCCGATCACTTGCTGTGTGGGCCAGGTGTGCACAGCCTCACGCCGCCAGCTCACAGGCAGGCTGGAGGCAGACCAAGCTCTGGCCCAGCGTTCGGTCCCGCCTCGTCGAAACGTGACCCCTCACCACCACCTCCTCGTGACCTCGAGCCCCGCCCACGGGATTTATTCGACTTGCCCCCCGCCTCAACGCCCGCGTCACGACGGGCCCGCCCGAGTCCAACACTTCCTGGACGGCGATCCCGACTTGGTTCCTCTCTCTCGAACCATCGACTCGCGCTGTGGCGCTTCTGCATTGCCAGTCGTCGCCGCCATCGACGCCGCTCGCTGTCGTCGTCGTCGTCGTCATACCCTTCTCGGCGGCCCGACATCGGCCTGATCAGGCGCCTGCTCCAGCCACTGCCGCTGCCACTGCCACTACCACTGCGCAAGGGCATCCGCCTCGATTCGTGATACCCTGTCCACGACCTCTGTCTCTGGATTCGTCCCACCGCGGCGGTCGTGAGCGGCGCCATGATTGTGACACCCAACGATACAGGCGTCGACGCCACGGCCCCGGCTGCCAGCGGATCGCGTGCTTCCCAGCCGGAGCGCAACGGCGCTGAAAAGCCTGCTGCCAGCGATCAGGAGACGAGCGTCAGCAGCATTCTCGCACAGCTCAACCAGGAGCAGCTCGCCAGCATCGTCGCCGCTGCCCGTGCGTCCGAGGCCGGCCGCCGCAGCGAGGGCTCGGGCACCGAAGGTGCCGCCGACAGCGCGCTCGAGAACCTCCCGCCCGGCCTCGGCCAGGCCGCCACTGCCTTGACCTCGATCGCATCAGCCTTCAAGCGCAACAGCGCGCGTGGTCAAGACGCGCAGGCAGGAGCCGAGACGGAGCGACTCGAAGATGCGCCTCCGCCACCCGGCACGGAGCAGCAGGTGGTGCAGGACGGGCTCGATGACACTGCTGCGCACCTTGACAGCCGCCTGCAAGGTGCGACGCGACCGCCGCGCGAGGCCGTCGACGTCAAGGTCAAGGCCGCCATTGCCAGCCTCAACAGCATGGCTGCGCAGCAGGGCGACGGCAGCTCCCGCCGAACCCCCGGTCGAGTCACCTCGCCCTCTGCGGCCTCGCCCGATGGCGCCTCGCCGACCGGAACTCCGGGCAGCAGCGGCGGCTCTAACAAGCGTATGCGAGAGCCGGACCTGGAGCGGGCGAGGAAGGACAACCACAAGGAAGTCGAGCGAAGACGCCGCTCGGCGATTGCCGACGGTATCACGCAGCTCTCGCAGATTGTGCCCGGCTGCGACGCCAAAAACACCAACAAGTCGTCGATCATTGTGGCGGCGGTCAACTACATCCAGGACCTCAAGAACAATGAGGCGAGCAACATTGAGAAGTGGACACTCGAGAAGCTGCTCATGGACCAGGCCATGGGCGACTTGCACAGCCAGCTCGAGGAGGTCCGCAGGGACAATGACCGGCTGCGGCAGCTGCTCGACGAGCGCCGCTGGGTCGAGGATCGCGAGAGGGACCGCGATAGGGACCGCCACAGACACGTCGACGAGGCTGAGCACGAGCCTTCGGACTCGCGCTCGGCTCACCATCTCAACGGGCATGCAGGTTCGGCAGTGGGCGAGGATTCGGCAGTGGGCGCGGGGGAGGCCGAGGCCGAGGGCGAAGACGACCACCACCGTGGCGCTGCGGGCGACAAGAGGACTTTCGGCGACATGCAGGGAGAGCCCGAGCACGGCCGTCGAGTCGAAGACGGACTCGAAGACGACGCGGCGGCCAAGCGGGCCAAGGTGGCCGCCTGATTGCTCGTCGGACGTGCCCCCACCCCGCCCCGCCCCGCTCTAGCCTCGTCTCGTCTGGTCTCTGGGGACGTGGTCGACGCCGACCTCGTCCATGTCCTGTCAGCCTTCCGTGTTTCTTTCCCCCCTCTCTCTCTCCCCCTCACTCTTTCTCATGTCATGTTCCGGCCTAGTCACCGCAGCTCCCTCTCTCTCTCTCTCGTCGCCCGCCCCGTTCATCTGCCCTGTCCATGTACCGTATGTACTCTACTCTGCCAGCCTCGCCTCTTCTACTCGGTCCTCCCCCGGTCCCTCCATCTCATTGTCAAGGCGCGACAAGCGAGCAACCACCTGTATCTGATTGAATCGATTATCAATAGCATTCTGCAGGGATCGACGAGGCAAGCAAGCAAGCAAGCAAGGGGGGTTGGCGGAAGACAACGGGGCAAGGAAGGGGAGGAGGGGGGGGTATAGAACTAGGCACTCTCGACGCTGGTCGTGGTGACGTTTCGATCCTTTTCCGCCTTTTCCGACTGGATCGACGTAGCAGCAGCAGCAGCAGCAGCAGTATCGCCACCCGGCACCGCCCCCGTCCCGAGACCGAGATCGACGGAGCGGTGCCTCTGCCGATCCAGGCTGATCTGGGCCGCCTTCCACCGCCAGGCGGGTATCCGCATCTCGTACAGCTCGTCGACCTCTACAAACGTCCGGCCCTTGGTCTCGGGCAGCAGGAAAAACGCGGCGACAGTGATGCACGCCATGCACCCGCCAAAGATGAGGTACGCCTTGGCGCCCAGCCCGGCCGCATCGGCCGCCGTGATCTGGGGCACGGCGAGCGTCGTGACGACGGCCGTCGTCTGGCCCCACCCGATGGCGTACGACATCGTGTAGTTGCGCAGCCGCTGCGTCGGCAGCTCCGACGGCATCAGCAGCGAGATCGAGTAGAAGCACAGCGTCCACACAAAGTTGAACACCATGGCCAGCCCGGCAATCGTCTGGGCGATGGCCGGGTCCGACGAGCGAAAGGCCAGCGCGCCCGCGACAAAGTCGATGGCCGTCAGCACGACGAAGCCGGGCAGCGCCAGCGAGCGCCGCCCGACGCGCTCCAGGGCGTAGATGGCCAGCGCCGCCGCCACCAGCTGGCAGACGTATGCGTAGACGGTGAGGACAAACGGATCCGCCACGCCCACTTGCGTCAGGAAAATCGTGGCGTACGTCGTGCTGAGGATGATGCCGCTGATCTGGTTGAGGGCGAAAAACGAGCCGGCCACCATGGTGCGCACCAGGTGCTCGCGCGCGAAGATGTCGGTGAAGCGCGTCTCCTTGGCCAGGTCCTTGCGCTCCTGCTCGCCGCGGATCAGGATGCCCAGTTCGTGCTCAATGGCCGCGTCCGAGACGGGGCGCACCTTGCGCAGGCTCTTGCGCGCGTCGTCGATCCGGCCCTTTTGCACGAACCACACCGGCGACTCCGGCAGCAGCGGCGTCGGCACCAGGAGGAGCAGCGGCAGCGCCGCCTGCAGCGCCAGCGGGACCATGTACTGCCGGCGGTCGCTGTACGTCTTCTCCGTCGACCAGCAGCAGATGGCGGCGAGCAGGTTGGCTAGGATGGTGAGCAGGTTGGTTGAGGCCACGGCACCACCGCGGATCTTGGCGGGCACCACGTCGGCCAGGTAGAGCGGGCCGATGGACAGCGCGCATCCGTACGAGAGGCCGTTGAGCAGGCGGCCGATGATGAAGGCGGCGAGGTTGGGCGACCATAGCTGCAACTGCGTGGCAGGAATGCTGAACACGTACGTCGAGAACAGGGTCCACTTGCGACCAAACCGGTTCTGCAGCGGCGAAGAGAGGATAGCGCCGAGCTGTCGTTTGGAGTGGGGCAAGCCGCGAGCGAACGAGTGTCAGAGTCCGACTCCAGCTAGGCTAAGAGGCGATCGTATCGTCGCGCACGCGGGCTGAGGACGACTCACGATTGTGCCAATCAGCGGGATGGAAAAGAGCATCGACTGGTGGCTTGCGGTAAAGGTAAGGTCGCCGGTGTCCGGGTTGACGCCCTGGAACTTTTCGACAAAGCGGGGCATGGCGGCGAGCGGGCTCATGATGGCATTCTCGAGGCCGTAGGTGGCGCCCGAGAGCGAAATGGTGAGGACCGTGATGAAGACGGTCCAGGTCCAGATCTTGGCATCGGCTGGGGGCGCTGCAGCAACGTCGTCGACGCCGTAGGCGAGGTCGCCGACGTTGGATGCACCAGCGCTCGAGAGCTTGGACGAGGTGTCCATCTTGTTGGACTGGTCGGTGCGACTGCCGCCCCGCGAGAGGGGAGGCCCAGAGGCACATCGAGACTCGTTGCAGGTGGCTGGGTCCATCTTCGGATGCGAGAAGGCAATTCTGGCGGACTATAAATCAAGGGTAGCGATAATGATTGGGCAGGGCGCGGTTGCACGAGGATGTTGAAGGGCGAGGCGACGACAGCGTCGGTTCCTGTCTAGCTGATCCTTGGTCCGTCTGCTTGTTGGAAGAAGGTCGAGGATGAGAGGAAACGAGATAAAGACGGGATGGGCTGGGATCGACCCGATCGGGGCTGGTCCTGCCAGAAGCCAAGAGACTGAGCGGTGCGACTGCAGAGCTGGCCAGCTAGACGCCGTGAGGTGGCGGGACAATCCTATTGTCGGTGGCGGCGACGGTGTGCAACGCGAGGTAAACTTGAAGAACAAGGACAGTGGTTTGAGGAGCTTGGCTGGGCGAGTGGCCTGACACTGACGATGACGGTGAGCTGCGGGCCGAGGTGCGTCGAGAGGTTGGGCGCTGGCTCAGAAAAAGGATCAAGGAGGGGCGCGTGGTGGGAGGGGAGCCACGAGAGCGGTACGGCAGAGTTTGGGGGCTGGCCGCGGTTCAACAGAGAAGGCGTCGGAGGGTGGGGCGCAGGAAGGCGCACGGGGGTGTGGCAGGCGGGCGCTGTCAGGGTGGAGAGACGATCCAGAGTAGCCGGGGCGTTTGTCGGACGATGATGAGGTCGGAACAGGACGAAGGGCGCATCAGGGCGAGGGGTTTATGAAGGCGTGAGAGGCGCGTGTGGGGGGTAGCTTGCGTGTTGGTCGGTTGACGAGGTGCGACAGGAACGAAAGGCAGAGCGCAAGGCAACGCAACGCACAACGGGGCGAGAGTGGCGCCGAGCAGCACGCCGAAGACGACGACGACGGCGGCAGTGACGGCGACGGGAAGGCAAGAGCGGGAAGGCAGCGCTTGGATGAGGCTAGGCCTAGGGCGAGTCAGGCGGGCGGGCAAGCGGGTGCGGGGGTGGATGGCCTCTAGACCGAGATTAGGCCGTGGCTCGGATGCGGGGGCCAGCGCATGAGGGATGGGCGGCCGGTGCGGTTGTGGCTGCTGAAGGAGAAGAGAGGTGAGAGAAGCGAGTTTGGCCGTTGGTCGAGTCCGGCAGGACGACACGAGCGAGTCGCGTCGGCGGCGATGGTGATGGTGATGGTGGTGGTGGAAGAGAGACAACCTTGTTACCCCACCACAGCGGGTCGGCCACGCAGTGCAGGCCAGGCAGCAAGAAGCCGAGTGGCAAAGTGGGGCGCAATTCGGGCAGAGGCGGTGGCCACTCTGGCAAAATTCAGGGTTGCGGGGAGCGCTCAGCGCACGCGGTCAGCCAGGCAGGCAGGCAGGCAGGCAGGGCGCCCTTTGCCCGCTGCAGGGTAACCGTAGGCGCAGGCTGCTCGAGCCAGCGGGCGCAAGTTAGGTCCAAACGGTACAGCCCGCCACTCGGCATCGTTGGCGACCCATGGCCCAGGGGGAGCCCCACAGGGTAGGCTCACACCTCGCGGGGAGCGTCTGCACGGGCAACCGAGCACCGCGGCAGGCCATCATGCCCACGTACAGCATGAGCCTGCCATTCAGATTTGATCAAGCCAGGCCCCTCGTCGTCCACGCGGTCCAGCCAGACCGACCGACCGACGAACGGAGCCTGCCAAGCCCGAACGGACTCACGTACGGTTGATGCACGTCGGTCGAGGCTCGCTGCCCCTGTTGCCTGTCAAGGTCCTGCAGTACGCTAGCGTCGACAGGCCTGCCAAAGACGCTCGCTTGGACGCTGCTCGCTCCACGCTCTGTGTTGTGCCTGCTCGTCGACAAGGGGGACCGACCCATCGAGGTTCGTCGTAGAGGGGGTCAAGGCAGGCCGGCGCCGCCACCTCTATCTTTGCCCTTTTTCGCACTCCTTTTCCCCGCCACGCCAAGCCGGGCGAAATCCTCCGCAATCCCGCCTCCTTCTCCGCCAGGCATGCACCTGCAACGGTCAACCACGAGGCCGGGGCCATCAGAGCCAGCAAGTACAGTAGTGAGCAGCGCCTAGCCCTCCCCCCGTCCCCGCATGCTCGCGGCGCCAGCTCGGTCAGCCAAGACCAACGCAACATGTCAAAAGACGGCCAAGCTTCGGAGGTACGCTGGCACGCGCGCGCGCTGTCGGCGCTCCGATCCGCTCCCGATCATCCTGGCCTCATCTGCTCCCACACTCCTCCCCGCCCCCCACGTCTGCCTCTGGTGAATCATACAACGGATTCCGTGACGCCGAATCAGGGACGAATAGGTAGCGATACTGTACAGCCACAGCGAGGCGAAGGGGGTGCGCCACGGCAACAAACGGCGGAGAAGGGGCGACATAAGAAAGGGGGAGCCGCGCGCCGGTAGGGACTGGTAGTAATACAGAGGGTGGAATCGAGGGGTTGATTCACGAGGGGACCGCACCCACTCCGCCTCCAAATTGAAAGTTGACGAGGTGATGGCCAAGTGCGGGTCAAGAACGCAGGGGAGGGAGGGAGAGCGAGTGTGTGGGGGTATAGCGCGCGGAAGCTCAGTAGTCTGAGAGAGAGAGGAAAGAGGAGAGAAGGAGGGTGGGCGAGACCTGAAGCAGATGGCGCGCGGGCCCTGGCTGGCTCAAAACAGGCCCATCTCGCGCAGGAACTTGTCAAAGCTTAGCTCGGCCATCTTGGGCAGCTCCTTGACCGCCTCGACCAGCTCTGGCAGGTACGGGTGGTCGCCGCCCCGGAAGCGCTTGAACAGGTCCAGGTACTTGTGAAGGATGGCCTCGATCGCAAACGACGGCGAAAAGGCCTTGGACCCCAACGGCGTCGTCGCAGTGGGCCCGCCCGCGCCCGTCGTGCCCGTCGACGCGGCTTGGATCGGCGACTCGGTCGTCCCGTGCAGCGTCGGCGAGCCGTGGTGCTCGGACGGCGAGGGTCCCGTGTGCGGGCCAAACTGGCTCGGCGCCAGGTTGATCGGATCGCCCTCGTACGGCACCGACATGGCAATCGCCGGAAACTCGCGGCAGACGACCACCAGCGTCTGGGCAATGTCGTTGAGCTTGCGCGTCAGCCCAATGCCGTGCGCCTCCATGCTCCGCAGGCTCAGCGCGTTGCACACCCGCAGCGTCTCGCGCGCAATGTCGATCGCATAGTCGATCCGCAGGCACGAGTGCTCGTTGTCCGGCGTCAGCAGCTCGTGCGACAGGCACGTCAGCCACAGCCGGTTCAGCAGCCACTGCCGCGTCACGTCGACGTCGGCCTTTTGCACCTTGGCCTTGTGCCAGTCCGACGTCGACGCGTAGCCCGCCGAGCTGCCGCGGTGCTCCTGCTTGACCTTGGGCCCAGCCCCCGCCGCCGACGACGATGACGTCGCGGCAGGATTCGAATGCGCCGCCGTCGGATGGCCGCCGTTGCGTTCTCCGCGCGCATCGCCGTCGGCGCCCGACAATGGTCGCGGATCCGGGTCCTCTTCGGCGCCGATGATGGCCGCGTGCAGCGAGATGGCGCGCTCCGCATCGAGGTAGGTGCAGCCCTTGCCGGGGCACTTTTTGTTCCAGCAGTCAACAAACTTTTCGTCGACCACGTCAAACAGTCGGGACTGGATGCTGCAGGGAGTGAACAGGGGGAAGGCCAGGCGTTCGGGTTCAAGAGGCCAGCGGGGAGTCAGTCAAACCGTCGTCATCGTCGTCGTCATCGTCGTGGCTGCAAGGTGCGGGTGCGGCGGCTCGCTCGGCACCGGAGCACTCACTTTGGAAAGTCCTCGAGCTGCGACACGTCAAACTTGCGCCGGATCGCCGCAGTGGCGGCGCGCGGGTTGCCGCGGAAGGTGATCGAGTGGCCGCTCTGGATGGCGTAGGCGCGCTCGGTGATGGCGAGCAGCCAGTAGGCCCGCAGCCTGCGCTCCTGCTCGGCCTTGTCGAGCGACTCGTACGCCGCCGGCTCGTGCAGGCGGAGCAGGTGGCCCAGCGTCACGGCCTCCCTCAGCCGGAACCACGCAGCGTTTTCCTCGCCCAGGCCGAAAAGCGTGCCAAAGATGAAGAACGAAGTCATAGTCGCCTCGAGGCTCGGGTTCTCGCCGAAAAAGGCGCTCGTCCGCATCCGCACCGCCTCCTGGAGCAGCTTGCGCACCCGCCGCTTGCGGGCGTGGATGGCCACCGGGTCCGACGCCTCGACCGGCTGGATCAGGGCAAACGCCGACATGGCGATCAGCATCGAGCCAAACTGCGGGTCGACGTGGTGCTCGTTCTGGTCGAGCTTGCTAAAGATCCAGGCGCGGGTGAAGACGGGCATGATGCTCTGCAGCCGCTCGAAAAAGAGGGCAATGGTCGGGATCAGCACCGAGTCGGCGAGTGGGTGCGAGTCCGACTGCGGATCGATGGCGCTGATGTCCGAGTACGACACAGAGCCGGGCGTAGAGTCCTGACGGCCGTGGGCCAGGTTGCTCTTGCCCAGCACGTCGAGTACCGTCGGCCGCTGCCCGTTGCTGCCGTTGCCAGGCGCAAATCCACCGGGCCCGTCGGGCAGCGGCATTGCCGGCCCGCCGCCGGGGCCCGCGCCGCCGCCGCCGCTGCCGCCAAAGTACGGCATGTCCATCAGCACGTTGCGACGGCTGCCGTCCTGCGATTGCTGCTGCGCCGCGTTAAAGTAGGTATCGGCCAACGAGGTGCCAAAGTCGGGCAGGCGGAAGCCGGCGGCCACGTCGGGCGCGAGCTCGGAGAAAGAGTTGCCAAGCACTTCGTTGAAGTTGTCGGAGGGATTGAAGCTGGGCGCCACGGGAGTCAATGAAGATCGCCGTGATCGCAGGCCGTAGGCCGCAGCCAGGGTCGAGCCCGAAGTCTGCATCGACGAGGGCGGACCGTTGACATGCTGCGGCTGCTGCAGTGACTGTTGATGGTGATGATTTTGGTGGTGCTGCGGATGCAGCGGAGGCTCCGCGGCGCCATTGTAGTGAGGGTTGGCGTGGTGGTGCGCCGACGTCTGCTGGTACAGGCCCTGGCTGGTCGACGGCAGGTAGCGGGGTGGACCCGTCCTGGACGGTGTCGGGGGCGACCGCGCAGCGTCCCGGTGGGACCACTGCGAGGGCCCTGCACCATCCTGAGCGCCAACGCCGCCATCGTATTCGCGCCATCTCCCCGAAGAGCCGCCGTCGCGCGGATGGCCCTGCGGCGGGCTCATCTGGCCGTGTGGCGCGTAGTGAGCGGCCGCGACGGGAGCTGACTGGAGCGACATGGCATGCTGGCCCGTCGACACACTCGGCCCCGCCGCCGGCAACGAGGACGAGGACGACGCGGCAACCGCATCCGGGCCTAGATCGCCTGCGGCCGGGTTGTGGCCCTTGCGCAGCAGGTCGATCCGCCTCCCAGACGCCTGCTTGCCCTTGGATGCCTTGATCCAGGAGCAGGGGATGCCCAGCCTGACGCAGTTGTCGCACGGGTTCGCGTGGTTGCAGCGGACCCGGCGGTGGTGGCAGGCATCGCAGGCGCGACGGATCGTCTTTTTGGGGTCGGTCCTGTCCTTCGGCATGCTTCCGGTCGGTGTGCTGCGGCGAGGTGCTGCGACGCGATGCTGCGGGCCACTCCCGCCTGCCTATTGGCCGCTGATGCGATGCTGCTGATGCTGCTACGATAGATGAAGGCGCTCAATGTCGGTGTGTCCGGTGCGAGCGAGCTGGTAGGCGATCGAAGCCGGCTCAACAGCCTGGCCTAGGAGGCGGCTGAGAACGACTCGGCGGCTCGGACCGAGCCGATCAGATTCGACGGTGGATCCGAGCTGGGAGGGGCCGACGGACGAGCGGAAGCGGACGAGAGCGGACCGAGTTGGGGCCGACGGGGGCCAGACAGGCGCAATGTCGAGTTGGACGATACGCTGCGACGGCGACGAGGCGGATCGAGCTCCGGCAGCGGGATGGAGTCAAGAACGCTCCCACCCTGGCTCAGGGGTGACTGGGCGTGAGCGTGGGCGGCACGTCGGGCGGCTTTCCCGGCAGCGAGAAGGGTGGCGACTCGGCACGAGGTGCTGGCTCGGGCCCGGTGCGAGGCCGACGCGGTAGCGTACAGAGGCGGTGGATGTGGATGCACGGTAGGCAAAGGCAAGAGGCCAGGAGCAAGCAGCTTGCAAGCAGAGTGCGGATGGTAGGTCGAGTGTGGAGAGAGAGGGCGATGGCGACCGAGGGGCAGGACAGCTGGTTTTGCTTCGGGGGCCAGGCCAGGCCAGGGCCAGGGTTTTCGACGACGACGTCGACGACCACGGCCTGCCACGGCCTGCCGCGTCGGCCCCCCGCCCGACCCCCGCCCGACTGACCAACCTCGCCTGCTCCAGCCGGCCCTGCTTGCTGGCTTTGCGGGGACGGGCGCGGGCGCGGGGCGACTGTCGCGCTGAACCCTGGCCTGTCCCGCCTGCCGGCTCTCGGACTGGCCAGGCCTGGGGCCATCACCCTGCCCGAGCCTGTCCTGCTTGCCTGCCTGCGAGCCAGGCCGCTCATCTGCTATGCCTCCTTTCCCCTCGCGCGTGGGCTGAAAAGGCGGTGGCGGCGACGGAGACAGCGACGGTGACGGCGGCATGCCAGGCCGCTCAAAAGCCCCCTCGAACGCTTCCTTGCACAGAGTGCAGGGCTTGATGATCCCGCGGGCGTCGATGGGCCTCGCCGTATTGGGGCCGCAGCGACCGCGCGCCCCCGGTAGTCGCTGGGCGCTGCAACCACAGCGCCGCGTCTCTTGCCTCCTGCTCTGCTGATCAGCTGCTGCCGACCATCATCTCCCAAGGCAGAGCAGCTGCTGCAGGGCCACGCCGCAAGCTCGGACCGAAGAGCTAGAGCATGACGGCAGTTCGACGGCCCCGGCGGACAAAAAGTCAGGCCAGGCTCATCGACCTAGCCTGTCATCGTCCGCGCCTTGGCCGTCGGTCGGCCTAAGTTATGGCGATGCTCCGGCGCCGCCTGCGCTGTCATCGCAAGCCGCCTCGACGCCAACGCGGGGCGCGCACGGTAGTACTCCTTTGGTAATGAGCTGCGCCCGAATCGAGTCGAGGAAGAAGCAAGCAAGAGAGCGTACGTAGCGGTGCGGGGTGAGCAAGCAGCGAGGTGGGGCTGTCGCGCTTTTCGGCTCCGAGCGTCGACGGGGGTCCGAGTGCCAGCCAGGGTTGGGGCCAAGGGGCGAGCACGGGGCACCTCACCTCCCCTCGGCGCTTTGGCTTTTGGGCTCCAGCAAGGCGCCTAGGGGGCACCCCAAAGGGGGCCACCAGGAAGAACCTCGCCCGCTGGCTCCTCGTCCATCCCATCCCTCATCATCCTCTCTTTGCCAGATCGACGCCCGTCATCAGAGACGCCCTCTTCCTACCTCGCTATTCGGCCACCTAGCATCACTCCTGCGTCTTGCCTGGCCCGTCTCGTTGACGCCGCGCCGCGTCTCTCGATTGCCATGAAGGGCCCCAAGGCTCGCAGCAGCAGCAGCGGCGTCGGCGGCGGCCGCGGCGGCCGCGGCGGCCGCGGTTTCGGTGCTGCCTCGCTCCTGCTCGCCGCCCTCGTCGCGCTGGCATGGTTGCCTCTCTTCGCCTCGGCTCTGTCTCGACACGACGCCGGCAAGATCGACTGGCATGTGCCTCGGATCGGAGTCCCACACGTCTCGTCGGACAGCGCGACCCAGTACCTCTCGCCCCGCTTCCATCGCCTGATTAAGCCGTGGCAGGACGTCAGGGACAAGGCCCAGACCGCCATCTTTGTGGCCACCGAGAGCAACGCCGTCGGCGCCATCAACCCGCGCAACGGCGCCCTCGTGTGGCGCCAGGTGCTCGACGATGACGACGGCGTCATCGCCTTTACGCAGCACTCTGACCACGCCCTCTCGATCTCGGGTGCAGGAGGCGCAAACGTCCGCCTCTACCACGGACTCACCGGCCACGTAATCTGGGAGGCATCGCAGCACCACGTTCGCGATGGCATCCTCCCCGAGGCCGGCTCGCCCGGCGTCGACGCCGTCTTCCTCCCCTCGAACCACTCGACCAAGACCGACGGCGACGTGCTGACGCTCGCCAACGGCCGCACCGTCCGCCGTCTCGACGGCCGCTTCGGAAAGGAGGCCTGGAGGTGGGACCTTGACGACACTCAGGCCACCAAGAAGCTCGCCCGCCTCGTAGCCACGCCCGACAAGGTCTACGCCATCGCCGTCTCCCGCTCCGCCATCTCGGCCTCGTCCGCCGCCACCGTGTCCAAGATCGTCGTCTACGCCCTCTCGCACGGCGGACAGCTGCTCAGCACCCACGAGATCCAGTCCAACCTGCCCAACGGCTCCGCCGACCTCCTGTCCCTGCCCTGGAACCCGCGTCCCAACCTCCCGCCCAATCCGGCCAGCGCCAGGCCCTACGTCGCCTGGCGCAATGCCGACGGCACTGTCCGCGTGGCCCCGCTCGATGCCGCTGCTGGCAAGGCCGCCCAGCCGCAGGTGCTCCACTCCAAGCGCCCCGCAGACTCGACCTTTGCCAGCATCACCGACGTCGGCCTCGGTGACCGCGGCCTCTTTATCGCCCAGCGCTCCGACGGCATGGGCGAGGTGCTGCGCGTCGACGCCCGCGGCAAGTTGAACTCGATGTGGGAGTTTGAGGAGGACGCCCACGACGCCGTCTACTCGGGCACCTACGACCGCGCCGGCCACGCCTACATCAACCGCGTCTTTTTCTCGCGTGGCCAGCACCTGCTCAACTTCCATACCTTCTGGGCCGACGCCCGCAACGGCGGCGAGGGCCAGGTGACCGGCTTCTCGTTCCAGTACGACCACGACCTGCACGGCAACGTGCTCGCCGCGCCCTTTGAGGCTTCGCCAGTGTCGCAGTACCAGCTGGTCACGCGCGCCACGCTCGTCACCTCGAGCGGCTCGATCCGCATGATCCAGGAGGACAAGACGCAGTGGCTGCTCGAGGAAGGCCTCACCCAGATCGCCGCCTCGCTCATCGTCGACCTGCCGGAGCGCAAGCTCACCACGCTCAAGGGCGGTGCCGCCGCACTGGACCGCGAACGCTTCGTCGGTCGCCTGATCCGCCACGTCATTGCGCTGCAGGACCTGCCGTCGTACCTCGTCAACTTCGCACGGCGCTTCGCCAGCGGTGACTATGGCGCCCTCGAGCCCGCGGCGGGCGGCGGCTCCGTTGGCGTGCCGGGCGATGCCTCGTCGGCGGGCGCCGCCCCGTCGACGTCGGGCACCACGACCATGGTCAAGTCCGGCAACAAGCCGGTCAAGGAGGTCAAGGCCGAAGACGAGAAGCCTACGTCGCTGGCGCCGCGCGTCGCGTCGGCCAACACGACCGCCACCCTCTATCGTGACCCCTTCGGCTTCCGCAAGCTCGTCATCGCCGCCACCACGCGCGGCAAGCTCTACGCCATCGACACGATCCGCAAGGAGACGTACGTGTGGGAAAAGAGCCTGGTCGGCTACGGCCAGGGCGAGGGCGAGCCGGAGCCCAAGGTCGACGTCAAGCTGCTGTCGCTGGTGCGTCCGCTCAGCTCCGACGGCCGCGGCCCGCTGATCAGCATCGTGGCCGAGATCGAGCTCGAGGCGGGCATCGTCGCCACGCGCGTGTTTGAGCTCGACCCGCTCACGGGCGAATTTGCCGAGGGCAGCGAGGCCGGCGCCACCATCTTCGTGGGGCGGGCGCTCGACGCCTTCCTGCTGCCCATCGAGGACGCCGACAGCCGGCAGCAGGTGGTGGGCATCGTCGACCGCGACCACCGGGTCCACCTCTTCCCCGATACGCTGAGCGTAGCCCAGGCGTTCGAGCCGCTGGCCGAGTCGTTCTACTTTGCGCTCGCCAGCGGCGTCGAGAGCAAGCAACTGCTCACCGGCCATGCGACCGAGGGCGGTGTCGTCAGCAGCGTCCACGCCTCGCAGCAGGTGTGGCAGCTGCCGCTCCCCGCGGGAGAGGCCATCGTCTCGCGCATTGCGCAGGTCAGCGAGCATGTGGCCAGCCTGGGTCGGGTGCGCGGCGACCGATCGACGCTCTACAAGTACCTCAACCCGCACGCCGAGCTGATCACCACCGTCTCGCCCGCCACGGCGTCGGCGCACCTCTACCTGCTCGACACTGTGACCGGCTCGGTCGTCTTTGAGGTCGAGCTCGAGGGCATCGAGCTGTCGCGCGGCGTCCAGGCGAGCTTTGTCGAAAACTGGATCGTCTACTCGTACGCGGTGCGCACGGCCGACGAGGGCCTGCAGACGCGCATGGTGTCGACGGAGCTGTACGAGCAGCCGGGCGCCGAGCAGACGTGGCTGTGGCGCGGCAACTTTTCGTCGTTTACCGGCGACTCGTCGAACCCGGGCAGCAACTCGACTGCGCCGCTGAGCTACGCGCAGACGTTCCTCTTTGCGCACGGCGTGCGTGCGCTGGGCAGCACGACGACCAAGTTTGGCATCTCGCTCAAGAACCTGCTGGTGGCGACGGACCGCGACACGATTGTCAGCGTGCCGCGCAAGCTGCTCGACCCGCGGCGGCCGCTGGGCAAGCCGAGCAAGAGCGAGGCCGAGGAGTACATGGTGCCGTACGACCCGCTGATCCCCAACGAGCCAAAGTGGACGCTGAGCCACGTCTTCCCCGTGGCCAAGCTGCAGCGGCTGCAGAGCGCGCCGGCGCTGCTCGAGAGCACCAGCCTGGTGCTCGCGTATGGCCTCGACATGTTCTGGACCCGCGACGCACCCAGCGGCCAGTTTGACGTGTTGCAAGGTGAGTCGTCGTCGTCGTGCGGGCCCGGTCTCCCGCAAACCGTCGTCCGGGCAGGGAGAGGCGAGACGAGGTGACCGATCGCTGACGCCGCCCTTGCTTGCTGCTCTGGCCGATCCACGTTGAACTGCGACAGAAACGTTCAACAAGCCGCAGCTGCTGCTGACGATTGCTGGCCTGTCGGCGGGCATTCTGGTGACGCGACCGATTGTGCGCGGGCGGGCGCTGTCGGCGCGATGGTCGAGCTGATCCCTCATCCTGGGGCGCGGTCGAAGTGGCAGCCACCCCCCTCGTGCTCCTTGGCCTGGTCGCCCCTCGGATATCCTGTGGTTGTTGTAGATAGAGAACGCGCGCGCATCGAAGGTGGCGCACGCACGCACGCACGCACGCACGCACGCACACAAACACAATCCTTTTCACCACCACCTCCGTCGCCTTGTTGCTGTCGGCATGGGTTTGTGGATCGACGAGGGGAAGGCGGGAGGAAGGGGCTGCGGCAGATTGAGTCGAAGTGGGCAAGGCAGGCGCGAGCCGTCGGTGGCGCTGGTTCGGGGCGAGGCCAGAAGGAGGCCAGCAGGAGGCCTGCCAGATCGAGGCAGACCAACACACCAACACCAGCAGCGAGCGGGCTGCGCTTGCGGTGAGGCTGGCTGGCTGCCCCTTGCCGGTCTGCCTGGCAGCCTCTTGGTTTCTTCCTGGCTTGGCCCTGCCTGCCTGCCTGACTGACCCGTGCGCCCGCGGGTTGAACTGTGGATTTGCAACGGCGAGCCCACTTTTCACTCTTTGAAATTTTGTATTGGCCGGGGGGGGGGGGGGGCCAAAATCGAGGGGAGAGAGCAACACACGGCCGACCTGGCTCGCCTTTTTTTCGCCTCGTGATTTTTCGCCCCACCCGCCGGATGGGCCGGCCGCTTCCATCATCGGGCTGGGCTGGCTCTTCTGCCTGATCACCCGCCCAAGGCAGGCCAGGAGGCCCGGCAGAGACGCGCGCAGCCAAAGGCACACACACGCCAGTCAGAGGGGCGAGAGTCCAACAGAGGCCTGGTCTGGCCTGGCCTGGCCTGGCCCTCCCTGCTGGCCCGCGCAAAAAAGCTTCTCGCATCCTTCCAGGTCGAAGCCCAGCCAGGCCAGGCCAGACAGACCAAGCCCCCCCCCCGCCCAACACCCGCCCGCACGCCCGTCCGAGGCACCCAGCCACAGACACACACACACACACACACACACACACACAGAGCAGCATCTTTTTGACCGCCGTCGCACCACGCCCCGCTCCCCCCTTGCCTTGCTCGCCCGTCTCCTTCGACACCGACACCGACACCAACACAGCTCGCCCTCAGCACCCGCCCATCACCACCGCCCTATTTCCCCTCCTCTCCTCCATTTCCTACGCCCGCCCATCACCACCGCACTCGTCTCCACGACACCACGCCGGGACACGCTCACACGACTCGTGACCGACCTCCTGCCTTCGCTTTGCGCTCACACACTCGAAAGGCGAGCGAACCCGACCAAATCTTCCTTCAAAGGAGAAAGGCAGCAAGCACAGCACAAGTGCCGATCCGACCTCCTGCGCCTCGATAGCAGCCCTGCTCGCACCCACCGGACAGCCGACTCGGGATCCAGCAGCACCTGGGAGCACTGCAGCCTCGCCGTAGCACCCCAGCTCCTTGATCCCCCTCGGCATACTCTTTCCTTCACTTCGACTTCGCCGATCGTCTCGCTTTGCCCAACCTCGACCTTGCATTCTCCCCGTCATTTGCCGCCGAAATGGACGCCAACCAGCTTCTCACCAACACCCTCTCGCCGGGTACGTCTCGGCGGTCATCGATCCCCCGCCTTGCCTCGCCTCGCCTCTCAGGCAGATGGCTTTCCGGTGTCGGACGACGCTCCATGTCCGCCTGACTGACATGTATGCTCTTGCTTATGCCGCGCACCCACCCCCTCTGCCCCTCCCGAACTCGACTCTGCCCCCTCTCAGACCAGGCAACCCGTACCAATGCCGAGCAGCAGCTCGAGGCGGCCGCACGGGACAGCTACGTGAGTTGGATCAATGCCGAAATGCGCAGGCTCCAAGGCCGATGGGCTCACCCGAGAGGCCATGGCACCGTGTTGCTGACGACCTGCCCTCGCGCCTGCCCCCTCGCCTCACCTCGACTCTGCCGCCCCCTTCCTCGCAGCCGGAGTACGTGACGATGCTCGCCACTGAGCTCGCCAACGAGGCGTCACCCGTTCACATCCGGACCGCCGCCGGCCTCGCCGTCAAAAACGCCCTCGTCGCGCGCGACTCGTCTCGTGTCGAGGAGTATGCCGCACGGTGGACGGCGCTGCCCCAGGAGTCGAGGAACGACGTCAAGGCAAAGGTGCTCAATTCGCTCGGCAGCCAGGAGCACCGCGCCGGCACCGCCGCAGCCCAGGTCGTGGCCGCCATCGCCGCCATCGAGCTGCCCGTGGGCATGTGGAGCGAGCTCATCTCCCAGCTGCTGCAGGCCGTCTCGGACCAGGGCAACCTCAGGCTCCGCCAGGCATCGCTCCAGGCCATCGGTTTCACCTGCGAAGTCATCGTAAGTCGCCTCCTGCCTTCCCTCGTCCCTTTCCGTTCCGTTCCGTGCCGCGTCGCCGCAAGCCCTCATCTTCGATGCTGACTCGTCCTTCACTCCAACCGCCCGCCGCTCGTCCACCGCACAGAGCTCGGACGTCCTCGCGGCGCAGAGCAACGAGATCCTGACGGCCGTCGTCCAGGGCGCCCGTAAGGAGGAGACGTCGCACGAGGTCCAGCTGGCGGCGCTGCAGGCCCTCTACAACTCGCTCGAGTTCGTCCGCGCCAATTTTGACCGCGAGGGGGAGCGCAACTACATTATGCAAGTCGTCTGCGAGGCCACGCAGAGCCAGCAGGTGACCGTCAAGGTGGCCGCGTACGAGTGCCTTGTCCGCGTCATGCAGCTCTACTACGACAAGATGCGCTTCTACATGGAGCAGGCGCTCTTTGGCGTGAGTGTCCCGGCCGCCCCACTCCGCACCTGCCCTCCTGTCTTTCCCGGCGACGGTGATGACGACGACGGATACTGACCATGCTCGCCTCGGGTGCATGCAATCCCCTCTGACCTCGCCCCGACTCACCACAGCTCACCGTGCTGGGCATGCGGGATTCGGAGCCCAAGGTGGCGCTGCAGGCCGTCGAGTTCTGGTCGACGGTGTGCGACGAGGAGATCGAGCTGGTGATCGAGGCCGAGGAGGCGCAGGAGTTTGGCGAGGAGCCCGAGCGGCTGTGCTACAACTTTGCCCGCATCGCGCTGCCCGAGATCCTGCCGGTGCTGCTCGACCTGCTCAAGCACCAGGACGAGGACGCCGACGAGGACGAGTGGGACGTCTCCAAGGCCGCCGGCACCTGCGTCGGCCTCTTGGCCCAGGTCGTCGCCGACGACATTGTCCGCCTCGCGATCCCCTTCATCGAGAGCAACATCAAGGACGAGAACTGGCACAGCCGCGAGGCCGCCGTCATGTGCTTTGGCTCCATCATGGAGGGCCCCGACAGCAAGACGCTGGCGCCGCTCGTCGAGCAGGCGCTGCCGACAATCATCGAAATGCTGCGCGACCAGAGCGTGGCGGTCAAGGACACGGCTGCCTGGACGCTGGGCCGGATCTCGGACCTCTGCTGCGACGCCATCAAGCCCGACGTCCACCTCGCCGGCATGATCCAGGCGCTCGTCGTCGGCCTGCAGGACGAGCCGAGGATCGTCACCAACTGCTGCTGGGCCATCATGAACCTCTCGGAGCAGCTCGGGAGCAACGCGCTGCCCTACGAGGAGGGCGCCGTGACGGGGGCCACGCCGCTCTCGCCCTACTTTGAGGGCATCGTCGGCAGCCTGCTGCAGGCCACCGGCCGGCCCAACAACGAGTCCAACAGCCGCACCTCGGCCTACGAGGCGCTGGCCAGCTCGGTGACCAACAGCGCCGCCGACTGCCTGCCGCACGTCAGCAACGTGCTGGTCCAGGTGCTGGACCGCCAGCAGTCGCTCAACGAGATGGCCAACCAGCTGCTCGACATGGACGACCGCAACAACTGGGCCGAGCTGCAGAGCAACCTGTGCAGCGTCCTCATGGCCCTCGTCCGCCGCCTCGGCCGCGAGGTGCTTCCGATGGGTGACCGCATCATGACCAACCTGCTGACGCTGATCCAGAACAGCGCCAAGCAGCCGACGGTGCTCGAGGACGCCTTCTTCGCCGTCGGCGCCGTCATCACGGCCTTCGAGGCCGACTTCGAGAAGTACCTCGGCGCCTTCCTGCCGTTTATGGTCGAGGGCCTGCGCAACCACGAGGAGTACCAGCTGTGCTCGATCAGCGTGGGCCTGATCGGCGACATCTGCCGCGCCCTCGGACCGCAGGCGGCCCAGTACAGCGACGACTTCATGAACGCGCTGTTTGCCAACCTCCAGAGCCCGCAGCTCAACCGCAGCGTCAAGCCGCCGATCCTCAGCTGCTTTGGCGACATCGCCATGGCCATCGGCGCCGGCTACGACAAGTACATGCAGCTCTCGATGGCGGTGCTGCAGCAGGCGGGCCAGATTGCGCCGCCCAACATCAGCGATTTTGAAATGATCGACTACATCAACAGCCTGCGCGAGGGCATCGCCGAGGCCTACGTGGGCGTCACGTCGGGCATGGTGGCGTCGGGCCAGGCCGAGAAGCTGCAGCCGTACGTCGAGGCCATGTTCCAGTTCATCGGGCTGGTGGCGCAGGCGCAGGCGCTGACGCAGGCGTCCGAGGCCCTCATCCGGGGCGCCATTGGGCTGCTGGGCGACCTGGCCTCTGCCTACCCCAAGGGCGAGCTCAAGGTGCTGCTGCAGGAGCCGTGGGTGGCCGAGTTTATCAAGGCTGGCCGCGGCCGCGGCAACACCCCGGACACGCGCAAGACGGCGGCGTGGGCCCGCGAGATGGTCAAGAAGGCGTCGGCATAGACGGCACACGAGGGCGCGGCGCCCCGCGCGGCACCTTTTGTCCACCCCTTTCGTTCCTCGTTTTCTCCTTGGTTGCCTCACCTGTCCATGCTTGTCCCCGCTGCACGCCACCTGCGCGACCGTCGTGTCCGTGGTCGGCGTGGCGGCTGTTTTGTCATCCTTGTCTCCCCTTGCGTTGTGATGAAGTCTCGATGTCCCCCTGCCGTTGTCAACCTGTCAGGAAGCCTTGCAAGCGCCACCTTTCCCCCCCCTCTCTGAACCCGTCCATCCATGTAATACCCTTAACGGCACACCACCACCACCCTCCCTCCTCCCTCCTCCCTCCTCCCACCTTCCCCCTCTCTGATCCCATAGCAAACCATCAGGTCCCAAAGTGACTCGACTCGACTCGTCTCGTCGTTCTCGCTCCGTTTCTGCGACGACGAGATGCAGTCGTATCGGCCCAGCAGCAGCAAAGTCAAAACGTAGCTCTTGATCGCGGTCGGTGTGTCCAACCCTAGCGCCTTTTGCAGGGCGACGATCCGTGTTGAGACGTACGTGACGAACCTGGTAGCACACGGGTGTGCTAGCGTGGCATGCTGCCTGACGGTGACGGTGATGATGACCACGGCGCGGCGCATAGCAAAGGCGAAAGAGGAGCGATGCCCCTGGCCCCGGCCCTGGCCCTGGCCCTGGCCGGCTTTTTCACGCGCTGGCTCCCCGAGGGCCCAGCGGCCTTGCACTTTGCTTGGGTTTTTTTGTTGCTTCTGTGCGAGCGGGGGCGTGCGGACGTGCGGGCTGGCTGGCCAGGCAAGGCTAGGTTTCGGTGTTGGTCTGGCGGGTGGTCCGCGTCGGGCCCCAGTTTGGCTCCCCACAAAGGAATCAGGAATCAGGAATCAATCCAAAATCTCGGGCGCGAGCAACGAAGGCGGCGGCGGCTTGCTTGGCCCGACGCCTTGTCTGGCCTAGCAGGCCTGGCAGCAGGTAGGGGCAGGGCTGGGCTAGGCCGCTTCGGAGTCGCGATTCGCCGAGCCATCTGCAGCAGCAAGCACCAGCAGCAGCAGCAGCAGCCGCCGTTGTTGGTCCCTCGCTCGGAACAACACCCATCGCAGCACTACCACCAACACCAACACCAACACCAACACCAGCCCCGCACCGGACATCGCTGCTCTGTACCATCGCCACCCGCCAAAGCTATATAACTACCAACGCTACTTACGACCCGCCCATACGCACCACGCCACGCACGCACGCACGCGCCGCATAGCCTGGCCTCGCGTCCTCTCCCGGGGGTTGGCGCGGGTCCTCGAACAGGTCCACCCACCAGATCGCACCAGCCTTTGCACGGCCCGGACTCAGCCGCTTCTCGATAGCCCGTCCGCACACTTCGTCTGGACTTGTGGACTTGCCTCGCTCCGTTGCTGGCCGACCGGCCGCAGCCAACACCATGCCGCAGCTGCCCACCGCAGGCCACGACGACGGCGACGATGCAGCCGGCTCGTCGGGGCTAGGCGCCCTCTTGGCGTCGCTCCCCACCCCCCTCACAGCTTGCCTGCCCAACTCCTCTTCTTCTTCTTCATCGTCATCACCACCATCGCACGGGCGCACCTCGGCCTCTGCCGGCGGCTCTCGTCCCGGCCCTTCTACCGGACTCGGCAGCTGGGCGTCCCTCTTTGGCGGCAGCCGCACCGCACCCGCACCCGGCGCATCGGCACGGTCCAGCCGCAACGCCCAAGAGACGCAAGCCCTGCTGCGCGACGATTACGACGACTCGGACGCCATATCGCTGCTGAGCAACATCGTCGAGCGAGACTCGAGGGGCTCGTCGGCCTCGCGCCGCCGCGCCAGGGCCAGGAGGAGGGCCGCCCGCGAAAACAACGGCATGGGCTGGTCCAACGTCGGCCAGCTCATGGCGTGCGGCCTCTTTGGCCGCGCAAAAGGACAGATCCAGAGCAGGGAGATCACCAGGTCCTCGTCCGCGTCCGCGTCGTCGCCCCGCGCCCACGTCCGCCACAACAGGACGCTCAGCGAGAGCAGCACAGAGAGCGACGGCAGCCTCACCGCGGCGGCACGCGTCGAAAGCGGAGACGAGGACGCCGGCATGCTCGACGACCAGGCCATCCGCAACCTCAGCCTCGCCAGCCCACCCGCAGAGGCAAATGACGGGCCGAGCGGCGCAAACGAGCAGCAAGAGGCGATAGAAGCCGAGGCCAGGCAGGCGGCCGAAGCAGAAGCCAAGGCCAGAGCAGAGGAAGAGGCAAAGGCGAAAGCAGCCGAAGCCGAGGCGCAAGCTCAAGCCGAGGCCGAGGCCGAACGGAAGCGCAAGAGGGACGAGGAAGCTGAGAGGCTCCGACTGGAAGCCGAGGCAGAAGAGGCAAAGCAGAAGGAAGAGGAAGCCAGGCTCGCCGCCGAGGAAGAGGCTGCCATCGCCAAGGCCAGGAGAAAGGCCGAGCGGAAAGCGGCAAAGGCCGGACTGCTCAAGCTGCAGCAAGAGACCAAGGCGGCACAGCGCTGGAGGACCGAGGCCGAGGCCGAGGCAGCCGCTGGCGGCTTTGACTTTGCCGAGGAGCACGACGACGACCAGCACGACTACCGCGACGGCCACTACGACGACGCCAGCGACGGCCACTTTGGGCATCAGCAGTTTTTTGACGACGGCGACCATGTTCACGGCCACGGCCAGCAGCACGGCTTCAGCGACTTCCAGGATGCCACCGCGGCCGAAGATGGCGAGGGCGACGAGACGTTCTACTATCCCCGAGACGGGCAACCGGGCGGCGGCGGCGGCGGCGGCAACTACGTGACCGAAGAGCACACTGCGGGGGGAGTGGTCCACCACCACCACTATTATCACCACGCTCCGCCGCCGACGGCTGGGTCAGGCTACGACTTTCTCTCTCCGACGCTGTCGCAGGGCGTGCCCTCGAGCCTATCGCCGCAGATCCTCGACGACCAGTTTGACGACGCAGAGGAAGAACGCAGCGGCGGGGGCGGGGGCAAAGAGGGGGTCAAGGAGACCGAGGTGCACTCCGAAGACGAGGCCGATATCGCGGGTCTATCGTTCGGCAAGAGGCGGTCGAAGCGCAACGACAGCGAGAGCGGCAGCCGGAGCGGTGGGGCCAGAGTGAGGCGGGGAGTGCCGGGCGGCAGCAGCTCGCAGCACTCTGGCGGGAGCGGGTCGGCGGGTGGCAGCTACCAGCGATCCTACCCGGGCACGCACGCCAGCAGCACCACCAACAACGCGGCTGCGGTGTCGTCGTCGTCGTCATCGGCGGGCGGAATCAAGCCAAACTATCGCGATCGACCGCGGCGCCACGAGAGGCAGGGCAGTCGCAGCTCGAACAGCTCTGCGGGGCTCCACGGCGGGCCCTATGGCGGCGGCGGTGGCAGCAGCATCTATGGTGGCCCCGATGGCTTTGCGAGGCCCTCTGGTCCGTCGCCCGGTGGATCCGCCAGCGGCGTGGCGTCGTACGCGGTGCCGACGCTACCGAACCTGTACGAGCAGGAGAGCACGGTGGCCGTGTCTGGCCAGTCGTCGCTCTACGGTGCGGCACCGACGCAAGGCGAAGGGCAGCAGCAGGCCGACTTCCTCGCGGGTGGCGGCGGCGTCGGCGGGCTGGGGCTGGGCGGCAAGAAGAAGCAGCGCTCGTCGTACCGCGACAAGCGATCGGGCAACGGCGAGACCAACAGCGCCGGATCGTCGAACCACTCGTCCAACGTCAAGGTCACGTCGCCCGCCTTTTCGACGGGCGGCCAGCAGCAGCAGCAGCAGCAGGGCGGCGGCTTCAACTCGCCGAGGAACCCGACCGAGTTTGGCAGGTGGCGCGATCGGGAGCCGGCGCAGCAGCCGCAGCAACAGCAGCCGGCTTTTGAGGGCGTGCATGGTCTCTGATTGATTCCATGTCGTCGTCGTGATCAGGTTGCGCCGTGATCCGACCAGGACCTCGACGATCGCTTCCCGCCACGCGGTGCTGCTGGCCCCCGTTCCGCCATTCGACTGGCGCCCTGGGCCCCTCCTTGTGTATGTTTCCGAACCAGCAGTGTTGATACCCCCTAGCCTCCCCTTTCATTCTCATCTTTTGTCCCTCTACTTGGCCGTTCAATGGAAGGAAGCAGACCTGGAGCAGGGCGACGTCCGTTCGCTCCGTCATCTGTACCCATCGCTCTCTTGCGTCTTTTGTCTGGAGGTGCGATGCAGTACGACGGCGTGGGCTGCGGATCCAACAACGTGGCAACGGCCTTGCGGACCAGCGACGATGCGAGCGGACGATGGGACCGGTGCTATGCCTGCCTGCCATGTGGGGATTTGCCATGGACGGAGCCCGCTGCCCGTACGTGTGTGTGTGCGTGGGGTGATGGGGACGGGACGGTACTTCGGAACGACGACTTCCGACACCGTCCGTCGGTCTGTCTCTCCGTGCGTGCGTGTGATGATGCGCATGCACGGCCAAAGCCAAGCACAGAAGGGCAAGGCGGGGCGGGGCGGGGCGGTGCAGGGCATCGGCTTGTCCGACACGAACCTCGAACTCGAACTACTGGCCCGTTGGGTCGAGTTGAGCTCGATCTGCCTGCCCACGTCGTCGTCGTCGTCGTCGTCGGAATCGAACCGGTCAGTCGGCAAATCTTCCGAAGAAAAAGGCGCGCGGCAGACCCGACTCGACCGCCCGACGAACCCATTCGTGTTGCTGCTGCCAACGACAATCTCTCAAGCCCCTCTTTTGCCGTCGTTTGTCGTGCTTGTCGGATCGATGAAGGTGCGAAAGACAATCAGAGACCGTCACATGGATGAAGTTGAGGAATACTGTAGCGCGGGGTGTGGGGAAGAGGAGACAGACTGTACGCGTCGACTTGTAGGTGGGGATGCATCCTCTCGGAGAGATAGACAGGTACAGGTGCCAGATCTTCCGAAGTGACCGACCCGCCCGGCCTCCGACGTTCCGAGGGCGCAGCTACCGGTACGTCCGGTACCTGGGGCGAAAGGAGGGACGCGATGGCCGCTTCATCGTCTGTTCGTCCGATGTTTCCCCTTTGGGAGCGGTAGCAACGTAACGTGTGTGCGGTGACGGCCCTCATGCCCGAAGAGATGCCCGGCATCATGCCCGACGTTTCTCTGCCTCTTTCGTCGATCCAGGCAAGCAAGGCAGGCAGGCAGGCAGGCAAGCTGATGATGGTCGGCGGCGACGGCGACGACGACGACGACGACGATGACGGCGGCGGCGGCGGCGGCGGACGGACGGAAAGCAGACCGGCGAGGCGGCGGCCGCAGGGGCGGTCTCGGTAGGGCGATTCTCGGTGCGAGCAGCGGTGCATGCATGCGCGCGTGTGCGTGTGCGTGCATGTTTGTGCGGAGTCCCAAACAGCCGGGGGGCAGGCGAAGGTGCGGGGGTGATGGTGGTGGTGGTGGTCTTGGCTCTTGATGCGCCTGGCCCCAGGACGCATACGGTTGGGGCCCCATCGCATGGCCATCTCCGAGCTTCGGATCGACCGCACCGACCCCTCCGCCGTGCGTGCCCTAGCCTCGCTCCCGGCCCAGGCCTCCTCCCCTCCAGTACCCTTGCGCGGTGGCGAGACACAGAGCAGAGGCACGTCTCGGGACTGAGCAGACCACGCCCGCACCGACAACCGCCCGTAGCCAACCATCGGAAGCTCACCCGACGCTTTTCGGTTGGGCGAGTTTTTCTTGGCGCAAGCAAGCAGCATGGCATCGCCGTGGTGGTCGTCTTCATGGCTTCGGTGACAGCCGAGTCGAGTCGAGTCGAGTCGAGGACGGGGCCAGACGAACGACGAGGTGGTGCGGTACAGTAGCGTGGTCGACCTACCCTTACCCGCCCCCCTGACTTTTTTGTTGCTTCGCTCATGGATGGCGCCGACCTGCTCGCTTGCCTGCACCCATCGAGCTGCGGTGGGTGGCAAAGCAGCGTCGCAGCGTCGCAGCGTCACACACGCCTGGCATCTCGAAATCGCGGCCATTTCCATCACCGGCCACCGACGTCGGAAGAAGAGCTCCGCCAGTAATAGTCTGCTCTCCGCAACGTGTATATAACGGGCCTGCCTTTGTCCGTCGTTCGGCGGGTCAAGGCGTCAGGAACCCCGCTCCCTCCCCTCCCCTCCCCTCCCTTCCGCCCTCCCTTACCCTGCCTCCCTTGTCCAGCCTCGCTCGCTCGCGCACGTCGGTCGACTGCCGCGCGCCAACCGTCGCTGCCCATCGCCGCCATGAGGACCTCGTTTGCCGCCCTCGCCTCGCTCGTGGCCCTCGCCACGTCGCTGGCCGCCGCCAATCCGGTGCTCGTGCCCCGCCAGGACGCCAAAGAGGTTCCCCCCAAGTTCATCCCTTCGCCCGTCGAGCACACCGCCGACGTCGACAGCTGCCCCGGCTATGCCGCCTCGGACGTCAAGACCACGGCCCACGGCCTCACCGCCACCCTCCGCCTCGCCGGAGACCCCTGCAGCGCCTATGGCCCAGACTACCCCGTCCTCAAGCTCGCAGTCAACTACGACAGCCGTGAGTACGGCCCCTCCTGACGCGCGTGTCTTCGAACTTACGGCTGATGTCGACTTTCCGGCGACCTTCTGCCCCGTTGACTTCCGCAGAGGACCGCCTGCGCGTGCGCATCACCGACGCCGAGAACAAGGCCCACGTCGTGCCCCAGGACATTGGCCGCTACCCCGAGTTCGGGTCCACGGGCGTCTCCAAGGACAAGTCCAAGCTCAAGTTTGAGCACGTCGACTCGCCCTTTTCCTTCAAGGTCAGCCGCGGCGACGAGGTCCTCTTTGACACGGCCGGCTCGCCCCTCATCTTCGAGGAGCAGTACGTCCGCCTGCGCACCTCGCTCCCCGAAAACGCCTCCATCTACGGCGTCGGCGACCACAACGACAACTTGCGCCTGCCCATCACTCAGGCCAACTACAGCCGCACCCTGTGGGCCCGCGATGCCTACGGCGTCCCCTCGCGCACCAATCTGTACGGCTCGCACCCCATCTACTTCGATCACCGCCTCACCGATTCGGGCCCCTCGACCCACGGCGTCTTCCTGCTGACCAGCAACGGCCTCGACGTCAAGTTCCCCGACGGCGGAAGGGCGCTCGAGTACAACACCCTCGGCGGCATCATCGACCTCTTTTTCATGCAGGGACCCGACCCGACCTCGGTGGCCAAGCAGTACACCGACGTGATCGGCCGCCCCGTCGGCTCCCCCTACTGGGGTCTCGGCCTGCACCAGTGCCGCTACGGCTACCGCGACGTCTACGAGGTCGCCGAGGTCGTCGCCAACTACTCGGCCGCGGGCATCCCGCTCGAGACGATGTGGACCGACATCGACTACATGGACAAGCGCGCCATCTTCACCACCAACCCGGACAACTACCCGCTCGACAAGGTCCGCTCGCTCGTCGACACGCTCCACGACAACGACCAGCACTATGTGCTCATGATCGACCCCGCCATGGCCGTGCGCGACAACTACCCCTCGCTCGAGCGCGCAAAGGAGCAGGACGTGCTCCTCAAGAACGAGGACGGTTCCCTCTACGACAGCGGCGTCGTCTGGCCCGGACGCGTCGTCTTCCCGGATTGGTTCGCCGCCAACACGAGCAAGTGGTGGACCAGCGAGGTTGAGCGCTTCTTTAGCCCCAAGACCGGCGTCGACGTCGACGCCATCTGGATCGACATGAACGAGGTGCGCCCCGGTCGCAGCCGCGCCATCGCCAGCACTGAGCCGCCGCTGACCTCGACATTGCGTTCCCCGCTCCCGTCTCTGTCTATCCTCCTCTCATACACCTCCTCCTCCGACCACACAGCCCGCCTCGTTCCTGCCCTACCTCGAAGCCAACCCGGACCGTGTGTCGGAGGAAAAGAACCTGCCTCCCGTCGCCCCGCCGGTGCGCAACCCTCCGCCTCGCGTGCCCGGCTTTTTCCAGAAGCGTCAGTCGGACGAGGCGTCGGCTCAGCTCGACAACAAGTGGCTCTACCCGCCCTACCGCATCAACGACGTCCGCGCCGCTCCCTCGGGCGCTGACGGTGTGGTCGATGCGGGCGTCTCGAAGAACATCTCGGACTTTACGGCGTCCACGGCGCTCGTCCACGCCAACGGCGAGCGCGAGTACGACGTCCACAACATCTACGGCCACATGATGGGCGCCGAGACGCGCAAGGCGCTGCTGAACCGTCGTCCGGGCGAGCGGCCGCTGATCATCACGCGGTCGACCTTCGCCGGTTCGGGCAACTCGACGGGCAAGTGGCTGGGCGACAACCTGAGCGAGTGGGCGGGCTACACGAGCACGATCCGGCAGATGCTGGCGTTTGCGTCCATCTACCAGATCCCCGTCGTGGGCGCCGACACGTGCGGCTTTGGCAACAACGCCACCGAGACGCTGTGCGCGCGCTGGGCCTTCCTGGGCGCGTTTAGCCCCTTTTTCCGCAACCACAACGGCGAGCCGCCCAACATTGGCCAGGAGTTCTACCGCTGGCCGCTGGTGACCGAGGCGGCCAAGAAGGCGCTCGACATCCGCTACCGCCTGCTCGACTACCTGTACACGGCGCTGCACGAGGCCGAGCAGACGGGCAAGCCGGTCCTCTCTCCGCTCTTCTACAAGCATCCCGCCGACGCGCAGACGTTTGGCATCGAGACGCAGTTCTACTACGGCGACCACCTGCTCGTCTCGCCCGCCATGGCCGAGAACAGCACCACGGCCGAGTTCTACGTGCCCGACGACCTCTTTTACGACTTTTTCACGCTCCAGCCCGTGCGCGGCGAGGGCAAGAACGTGACGCAAAAGGCAGAGTACACCGACATCCCGCTCCACATCCGCGGCGGCGCCGTGGTGCCGATGCGCTCCGAGGGCGCCATGACGACGACCGAGCTGCGCACGCGCGACTTTACGCTCGTCGTCGCGCCCGACGCCGAGGGCAGGGCGTCGGGCTACCTCCGCCTCGACGACGGCGTCTCGATCCACAGCAAGACGGCCTCGGACATCCGCTTCGCCTTTGCCGACGACAAGCTCACCGTCGACGGCTCGTTTGGCTACAGGACCAAGGTGCACTTTGACAAGGTCGTCTTTGCCAACGTCGACCGCGCGCGCTCGGCCGTGCTCGGCGGCAAAAAGGTCGACGCCAAGTCGGTCGTCTACAGCGCCGAGAACAGGACCCTCACCCTGTCCGGCCTCAAATTCAAGATCCAGCGCGGATTCACCATCCGTCTCGAGTAGATTGCGCACCTGGGCGGGCGCAGGCACGCCGGAAACGCCATCGCACTTGTGACGGAGATCCACTGTACCTAGAATCGAGATCCACGCAGAAAGGACGAGTGCATGTCATCCAGCACGTGAGACGCGGACAGAGGCCTGGCAGATGATGACGCCGGAGTACGAGTGAGAGGTCGCAGGTCGGCGGCACAGGGACAACGATCGCGATGCACACGACTAGGACATGGAAGGCGACGGCCGCAGCTGAGGCCATGCTCGCGGTGTACGGCAGAGACGCAGAGGTCGACCACGGGTCGTCAGCAAGGCCCTTGACGGCGCACCGAAGTGTCCTGGCCGGCCCCCTCCATATCAAAGGCGACAGCCAAAAGGCCACCTTCATTTCAAGGCTTCAGCAAAAAGGAAAAGAAAAAAGGAGAAAAAGGGAAATGCCCACACGCTGGATTGAACAACGGACCTCGTCATGTCGATTCCAAGCGGAATACGAGTGACGCGCTCTACCACTGAGCTATACGGGCTTCGTCGGGCGCCAACTTGGCTAAACCGACCGTCGATGTCTCAATGCCTAAAGGTAAAATATATAAAATTTCTTGTTGCGCTTCGATGGACCGCAGGGACCACCCATCGACCTGTGTGCTGGCATCTGCCGCGTCTGTCACAACTCCACGTCCCACCCGACCACCATCCTCATCTGCCCGTCGAAGCGTTCCTCCCGCGACACAGCACCAGCCCTCACCTACGCAAGGGTAGAAGCACAGCTATGACGACACGGTTGACGCTACAAGATATCCTCTCTGACCTCTCGACGCTGTCGTCGGGTGCAGGCTCGTCGAATGCGATGCTGACGACGACGACGGCGGCGACGGCGGCGACGGCGGCGGCGGTAGGGGGCGACGAGTCGAGACGGTACATGGATCGGGCGACCGAGTGTCTTCGGCTCAACTCCCAACTCGTCCCTCCCCATTCTCACCCGCACTCCAACGGCTACGACAGCGGAGATGGAGATAGGAAGGAGGACGGTGTGACGAGGTTGGATTACCTCCATTCCACCGTTGCTCGGCTGCAGACCCAGGTCGAGGATTGGTACCGAGGTCTTCAGGGCGGTCTTGATGCTCTCCAAGGTGACTCCCGGGGTAGGGAGACGCTGCAGGAGGAGGAGGAGGAGGAGCGGACGGTGGCGCCTGAACGGGCTGGAGAGGGGGTGTCGTCGCATCGACAGGCAGACAACATCGTCGACGACGACGAAGAAGATCCGTGGGACCTCACCTAGAGCCATCCCTGCCGCGGCCCACCCATCCCACGGGCACGCCCATGAAGGGCGATCGTCGTCCACCGTTGTCGCAGAACAGCGCAGCCACCCCGTCGTCGACCCCGGCAGTTGCGAGGAACGAACCTCGAAAAGCGACTGTCGTGCGCCAGCTCGACCCGCCATTCCCCTCCGTACCCGCCCAACCCGTACGCCGGTCCTCCAGCAGCGAGGCATCAGGCCGTCTGGCTCGAACAGTGGCAAGTGAGCAATCTGGCGACCCTGCATGCTGGCTTCCTCGCCGGCTGGCTGGCTTGCATTGCCGACGGGCCATCAAGGCCGGACTGGTTCAACATGGACCCGACGTGCTCACGTCGATCCTCACTTTGCTTCAACGACGAACAACAGCAAAGAGAACGGTGGATCTGGCTCCGCTTAGGCTCCGCCGCCGATTAGAGGACGGACGAGATGAACCCGAGGCTGTCGGTGTGTCCTGGGCACGCTGTACCTCTTCGGTCGCTCAGCGCGACGCTTCACGCCCTTCGATTCGGTCACGTCCCTTTCCGGCTTCACAATCCATCTTCGCTGCATGTTTCCAGTCGACAAGGGCGCAGGATGGTGTGATGATTACGCGGGCACGACATCCGCCGCTCCGACCTCTACCCGCAGGCCGACGACGCGTCTACAACCTGGCCTTGGCCTCTCGCTTCTCGTCCTCGATGCCCCAACGACCGACGATGCGCATCGCCTCTCTCCCACCTTCCTTTAGCCGCTCGTCGCCGAGCAGGGTGGCGAGGAGCGACCAGGCGTCTTTGCCGCCGCCGTACCGCAGCACCTCCTTGAGCTTGTCGCCCGCACCGCGCGAGAGCGGATCGCGCTCAAACAGGTCCTTGAAGACGCGCGACGCAATCGCCCGGTCGAGGAGGTACGAGTAGTACGTCGAGCCGTACCCGAACAGGTGCGAGAACTTGGTCTGAGGGTGCACCGGCACCGGCCCGTCGCTCGACGACGTGAGACCGCCATCGTCGGCGCCCAGCGTCATCTCGCCATCGATGGCCGCGTAAACGGCGCTGCTGTCGAACCCGTCCTGGGCGGCCCGGCTCGAGTGGTAGACCTGGTCGAGGGTCGCCAGCTGGATCTGGTGGTACGTGTCCAGCCCCTCGAGGCTCTTGCTGGCCGCGAGGTGCGTCTCGAGGTGCTCGTACGGCAGCTTGGCGTCCGTGCCATAGTGCCGAGCCACGACGTCAATCACGGCCGGCGAAGAGAGGAAATGCTCCATCAGGATCGACGGCAGTTCGACAAAGTCGGTGGCGCACCGCGTCCCCGAAACGTTGTGGTACGCCGTCCGGCCGATCATCGAGTGGATGGCGTGGCCCATTTCGTGAAACAGGGTCTCGACCTCGTGCCACCCGAGCAGGCACGGCGACGTCTGGCTGCTGCCATTGGGCCGCGGGAAGTCGCACATCAGGACCACGACCGGGTGCTGGAAGCGCCCGGGCCGATCGCGCTGGAACGACGTTGGGACGTGGAGCGGATTGCCGATGCCACCGTCGCCGCCAAGGTCGGTGGGGTGGACGCGGCCGCCGGACTCGGAGCGGCCGTGCTCAAAGTCGCCCGCCTCGTCGTCGAGGTCGACGCGCCGCGAGCATCGGACAGTGTAGTGCGCCGCGCCGCCCGGCTTGCCCTCGCGGCTCCACAGGTCGGCGTAGATGGTGCCCACCAGACCCTCTGGCGCCGTGGAGCCGGTCGAGCCGCCCGCGCCCGCCTTGGCACCCTCGCGCTCGTCGAGCACCTCGACCTTCATCACGTCTCCGCTGCCCTCGCTCCACACCTCGCCCGGTGCGACGGGCGCGGCGCGCAACCGGATGCCGTAGAGGGCGGAAAAGAGGCGCGACAGGCCGGCAAAGACGCTGCCGAGCGAGAAGAAGGGAGAGAGGGGCTGGACGCTGCGCATCGAGGGCGAGCGGAAGTGGGCGTCGGTATACAGGTCGCGGTCCCAGGCGTGGAAGGCGGGCAGCTGGGTGTGCGAGGCGGCCAGGGTGCGCGCGTCGCCGTTGAGGCGGGCGAGCTGGTCCTTGAGCTTGAGGCGGCGCAGCTTGTCCATGTCGCGCGCCGCCCGAGGCCGGTGGTGGTTGGTGAGGGCGCGCAGAAACTCCTCGACGTTGTCGGGCTTCTTTGCCATCTTGTCGCCCAGCGACATTTCGGCGTACGACGAGGCGCCCGTCAAGACGGCGAGCTCGGCGCGCGCCTTGAGCAGGCGCTCCAGGCGCTGGATCTGTGCGGCGCTGGCCGAGTTGGCGGCGGCAAAGGCCACCTTGCGCGCCTGCTCGTCTGGCGAGTGCTTGAGGATGGTCTGGAACGCCCAGGGATGTTCAGATGGCGAGAAGAACAGCGACGAGTCGGTGGCGTCGTGGCAGCTGGAGCGGAGGGCGTTTACGAGAGTGGGGTTCATGCCCTTGAGCCAAGCGAGCGGGATCTCGACGGGCTGCTCGTGGGGCGATGGCGAAGCCGTGTTGGCGTTGGCCTTGGCATAGGGGTTGGCGCCGTCGCCATCGGCCTCGTCGGCGCCATTGCCGGCAATGTCCTGGAGAAAGCCCCTGCCGAGGACGAGGATCTCGTCGCTGAGCTCGACAAAGCGCTGTCGCTGCTCTGGTGCGAGGTGGATGCCGGACTTTTCAAAGTCGCGCAGGAAGACGTTTGCGACTGCGACGGCCTCTTCGGAGAGCGAGTCTACGATGCGGGGGTCGGAGAGGATCTTTTTGAGGACGGCGTAGAGGCCGGTGTGGGTGTTGAGCACGTTCATGTACCCGCAGAGGTACTCGTAGGCGGCGTTTGCGGCGGATGCCCAGTAGGGGTCCGGATGTGCGTTGCGCACGAGTTCGGCCATGTCGATTACGCCGCAGAGGAGGTCGCTGAGGCGGTCGAGGTTGCGTACGACCTGGGCGAGCTCGTGCGGGGGGGTGTCTGGGTTGTTTGCGCGTGCGATGCGGTCTACTAGGAGCTGTGCGCGTGCGAGGGTGTGCTGTGCAAGGTCGATAAAGTGCTGCGGGGATGTGAGGGAGGGGATCTGGAAGAGGCCGGTGGGTGCCATTGCGGCGGGCGACGCGGACGAGGCTGAGGAGGATGCGGACGGGTTGTCGAAGAGTGCTCTGAGGAGCTGGTTGTCGCGTTCATGGTCTGCGGCGTTGATCGAGGAGAGGGGCGGCAGGGTCTGGGCTGCTGCTGATAGGGATGGGGATGGCTTGAAGATGGCGGTCGAGTGGCGGTGGCGACGAAGGGATGGTGGTGTGGCCAGCAGCGGTGGTGTCTGTGGTGAGCGGCATGCTGAGTGGCGTTGTGTGGACGGAAGCGAGGATGCCGTTGGTGCGCGAGTGGGTATGGACAGTTTGGCATGCCTGTAGAGGCGTGAGGATGCCCTGGCTGCCATGATGCGAGCGGCAGGGTTGGGTCGGGGGTGGTGGTGGTGGCCGTGGTGGCCCAAGGCGCCAAGAAGAAGTCCAAAGTCGAATGGCCAACAAGTGGAGCGCATTATTCGAGGCCGGCCGGTGGGGCCCGATGTCCCGAGTGCCGCAAAGTTGGAGGGCTCAGCCGTAGATCGGATCCGATGGCGGGCCTCGGGGTTGGTGGCACCGGCGATTCGACCAGATTGCCGACGGCCAGAGTGGAGGGAGCGGCAAGCCAGATGCAAGAATCTTAAGAATGCCGTGCACAACCGGCGAACTGTCCGTCGCTGGTGCAGGGGCCACCCCTCCCTCCTCGCCATCTTCTGGCGGCGGGGACAGCTGCTGTCCCTCGCCCTCATCCTCGCCCTCATCCTGGTATAAGACCCACCGACCGCCCACCACCCTCGAGCCCATCTCGCTTCACCCAGCACCTCCCACGATCCCCTCAAGCAAGCACCTGCCCACCATGCCCGCCTACGACCCCTTCAAGCCCATCCACCTCCAGCACCCGCACGCACGCCTCCGCGCATCCGTCATCCCCTTTGGCCTCACCATCCAGTCCCTCACCCTCGACAGCGCAGATGGCGGCGAACAGCAGACGGACCTCATTGTCGCACCCCAGAACCCAAAGGACCACCTCGACGCCGGCAGAAACTTTTTCGGCCCCGTCATCGGCCGCTTTGCAAACAGGCTCCCCGCTGGAAACCTCAAACTCGACCTGGCAGATGGACAACGCCTAAACGTAGACGTTCCCGAGTTCAGTGAGTGGAGTGGCTCCCTTTCTCCCCCCTGCAGCGTCAATCGCTGCTGCTGACCGTCGCGGTCCATTCTGGGACGCCTCTCTTGCTCATCTTGTTGCTGTGCAGGCGCTGGCGGCGTTTCGCTCCATGGCGGCCCCGCGCCCGCCTCGCTCTCGTCCCCGGATTCGATCGAGCAAAAGGGCCCCTTTGACCGCGCCATCTGGCAGCACGTAGCCGACGCAGACTCGCAGCTCTTCTTCAACTCGGGATACACCAGCCAGCCCGGGGCAGAATCGCCTGCATCCAGCGCCATCTTTGCCATCGAATCCCCGCACGGCGACAACGGATACCCGGGCAGGCTCCGCGTCGAAGTCCTCGTCGCCGTCCTGCCCGCGTCGGCCGCCACAGAGGGAGAGACGCGCTCCCCGCTGCTCGGAACGTCAGAGGGCAGCTTCCTCATCCGCTACCGCGCAAAGATCCTCGACGACGTGGCCGCCACCCCGCTCAACCTCACCCAGCACTGGGGCTTCAACCTCAGCTCTTCGTCGACCAAACCCGAGGCACGCTCCGAGCAGGGTCGCATCGACAAGCACATCGTGCAGCTCTACCCCGTCGACCCGGCCAAGGGAGTCAAGCGCCTCGGCCTCGACGCCAAGATGATTGCCGACGGCACCGTCATCGACCTCTCCAAGCCTGACGACGAGGGCCAACGCCACGACTGGGATGCGCCCGACGGCAAGGTCATCGACCACGGCCGCCTCTCGAGTGGCTACGACCACTTTTACGTCTGGGGGCCCGCCGGCGGACTTGCCAGCTCCGATGCCGCCGATCTCTGCCACGAGCGCGCCCGCCGCATGCGCGTCACGTCGGACACGACGGGCATCTCGCTCACCTTCCACTCAAACCAGGCCGGCACCCAGATCTACTGTACCGAGGGCCAGCCGCCGGCGCCGGCGCCCGCCGACAAGTCTGGCGGCGAGATGAAGTACGTCCACCGCCGCAACGTCGAGGGCGAGGGCAAGCTGGGCAACGGGCAGAGGAGCGCCATCATGATCGAGTTTGGCGCACCCCACTGCGGCTTCCTCCACTCCTCGCTCGAACAGTGGGGCGGCGGCGCCTCGCTGCTGAAGAAGGGAGAGGTCTACGACAACTGGGTCACCTGCCAGGCTTGGCAAAAGTGAGGCGAGTGGTCCGGTCGAAGCGAGGAAGGAGGAGCAGCGAGGAGCGCGTGCAAGGACAGCACCACAGAGTCGGTTTACAATTTCTAGGAGGTACGGACGACGTCGTCATGGATTCGCATCTCAGGCCGCCGAGCGCCTCGTCGGGTCGGGCCGGACCCGACCCACGCAGCGATGCGCGTCTAGCCACAGTCGCTGTCTCGGATCTGCCTGGCGGGCCGCCGCCTCCAACGTCGTGTGGCGTGTAGGATGTGCTGCTGCTTCATTCCTACGATCGGAGCCGCCGGAACGGCAAACCCCCCGGCCGTCCAGACGAGGTCTGGGGCTGGCCAAGGTGGAAATTGCATATTCTGCCCAGACGAGGCCAAGGACGTGTCGCCAGGGCCACCCTGCCTCAATGGACGCGTCACGTCGATTTTTTTTATTTTCCCCCCTCCTCTATCGCGCATCGACCCGAGCTTGAACATCCACGGTCCTCACGCAGACAGAGGCCGGAATTGGGTGGGTGTGGTTGTTGATCAGGTCCGTTCGGTGCAAGAAGCCGGCCGGTCGAACTTCTACCGCCCTCCGCTCCGTGTAGCGCCCGTTCCTTGGCAGTGCCGAAGCGTGTGTTCCTGAACTCGACCGTCGTTTGGACTGTCCCCCTCGTCCCGCCCCTCTATAGCCAGACAGCAGGATAGGCCTCGGAGGTACCATTCTCCCCTTCCTTGACCACCACCATCATCCCCGCTTCCCCCCCTTCCGCTTCTCATCCCCCCCTTTTGCTTCGTTTCGTTTCCGTTTCTCGCGGCGCTATCCAACCACAAATCCAGACAGTCGATCCGGTATCGACTTCTGGTGGATCTCTGTCACCCTTCACCGCGCCAAGGTCACCCTTGACGCTTCCGAGATTCCGAGGAGCTGTGCTCCTCTCGTTTCTCTCTTCTCTTCTCTTCTCTTCGCCTGGATTTCGACCCCTCTCCCACCCCGAAAACCACCACTTTCATCGCCCCTGAGCTTCGAGGTCGATTGATTCGACTCTCTCCGCTCTATCGGACTCTCACCCTTCCCGACACGCTACGGAAAGGGAGAAAACATCTGAGGCAAGAGGCGAAACGATGCAATGGGCTCGAAATCTGGGATCCTCCCACTCGAGCAGCAGCAGCGCTACCACGACCATCCAAGCAGCGGCAGCAGCAGTAGCGGGAACCAGCCGATGGGGCGCGATGACGGCCGCAACACGACCAACAACAAGGACACACGGCGAGGCGAGACGACGGGAAGGGGCGAGACAGGGATGCTGGCGTCTCTGTCTGAGCCCGCGGCCCGCCGTCGTCGAGGAGACGTGGACGTGGCCGACGTCGTTCAGCGATGCGAGCGACACGCGGCCACGACGACGATGGAGCACGCCAAGACGATGCGGCGACCTACTCGAGGCCGAGGAAGGGGGAAGGCGACGACGACGACCATGGTTCTCTTCCGGTCCCTGCTCGCCCTCCTCCTTCTGCTCCCGCACCTTTCGTCGTCTGACGGTGCAAACTCGATCGGACCTCTCGTCGCGGCACGCGTCGTTCCGAGATCTTCCTGGATCGTTGGCGCACCGAGGAAGGAGGAGGGAGACCGAGGGAGACGGGACGTACTTTCGCTTGCGGGACGAGGAGGAGTTGAGGATGGTGGAGATCGACGAGTTCTTGAACGGCGGCAGGACGACGACGAGGAGCATGGACAGGGGGAACGGTTCGGTCCTCGGATCGGCAAAGTGGTTCTGAACCAAGATCAGCAGCAGCAGCAGGACGAGGAGGAGGGAGAAAAGGAGACGGCAAAGCCGCAGACGCTCAAAGTCGTCTTCGAGGCCCCCACCACCAGCAGCGGCACGGAGGCGATCGAGGAAACCGTCAAGGCGCCCGTTGCGCGATGGGGCCAGACGGCGACGTACCTGCCGGAGCACAACGTGATTCTCTTTGTCGGCGGCCAGACCGACCGGCGCGGAAACATCACCAACGACGTCTACGCCCTCGACCTCTCCACCAACTCGACCGGCGCGGCCACCGACGGCGACGACAGCCGGTGGATCCGTCTTTCCTCTGCCGGCCTGCCACCGCACGCCTTCGCTGCTTCCACCGTCACCCGATCGCAGCAGGGTCAGCAGCAGGCCGGGGAGGGCGAGAAGCTGTGGATCATCGGTGGTGTCACGCAGGATTGTAGCCGGGATGCACCGGCCTACTACTGGAGCACGCCCGACGGCGACTTCCGCCACGGTACCTGGTCGGCCGTCACCGTTCAGAATGGCGGGAACGGCACGACGATGACGACTTCGGCGACGAGCGGACCGATGAGAAGGCGAGGCGCTAAGGCGATCCAGCTCTCCTCTCACTCCTCGTCGTCATCGTCGATGGTATCGACCTCTTCAAACGGCACGACATCGTCGTCGATCAGCGTCAACTCGTCGTCGTCCAGCATCGACGGACAGGGCCCGACGGCACAGACGACAGTCATGGTCGTCGGCGGAACCGCCGACGCCTCGGTCTGCTTCACCGTGGCTGGCGATGGACAGAGTGCAAGGTACCCCGGCATCGACCTCTGGACCACGACGGCCGCCGCCGGCGATGACGCCGCGACGACGTCGAGCAGCGGGAGCGCCCGTTCGGCGTCGACGGTGCGTTCGTTTGCCATCGACGAGCGGATGCGCTCGTTGCCCCTCGTCGACTACTCGACCGTCGTCCTCCCCGCCTCGAACGCGACGACGAGGGGAGGGGCGGCGAGCTCGGGCGAAAAGGTCGTCTTCATCGGCGGCAAGGACTCGACGGGATCGCTCAACCTCCTCAAGCACCTCTGGGTGCTCGACGTCGAGTCGGGATCGTGGGAAACGCTCACGACGAACGGCGAGATCCCCGCCGGACGCATGGGCCACACCTCGGTCCTGACGAGCGATGGCGCCAAGATTGTCGTGCACGGCGGCTACCTCGTCGACCCCTCGTCGGCCGAGGCCGGAGGAGAGAAGGGGCACCGCGAGGCCAAGCCGACCAACGACGTCTTTGTCCTCGACCTTGACCTCGACTCGGCTGGAGATGGACCGGCCTGGTCCAAGGCCAAGATGGACCCGCAGTCCGACTTTGCACCCGCCCGCGCCTACCACTCTGCCGTCATGGCGGGCGACGTCATGGTCGTGGCCTTCGGTCAGGCTTCGCACGGTCGCGCAGCGGGCCATCGCTCCGCCGTTGCCGCGGGAGCAGCGCAGGCTGGAAGCGAGGGCGAGGGCGAGGAGCAGGACCAGCAGCCCGCCATTCACTACCTCAACGTCGCTTCCTCCGGCGACGGCGCGTGGTCGTGGAGCAGCAGTAAGGCCCAGGCCGTTTCTGCCTCGGCCGTCGCTGCTCCCGCGTCCGGTAGCGCTCAGACGGCCCCGCAAGCTTCGTCGCAGAGCACTTCGACCTCGGCTGCCAACAACGCTGGCTCGGCGCAGTCCCAGGCTCATACTTCTGCTGCTGGCGACGCTTCGCAGGCCGCTGCCCCGGCCAGCCAGGCTCCGCAGTCGCAGTCGCAGTCGCAGTCGCAGTCGCAGTCGCCGGCGACCAACGCCGAGTCTGCCACCAGCCAGGCCGCCGCCAACTCGCAATCCGCTCCCGCAGCTTCCCAGGCCCAGGCCGGTGCCGATGCCGCGACCACCTCCTCGTCGCAGGCGGCCGGAGAGAGCCCCGCGTCCTCCAAGGACTCCGAGTCTGCTGCCCCAGTCTCGGATTCTAGCAAGGACGGCGAGGCCACCTCCCCCGCCGGCACCGGCAAGGATGCCACGACGGCGTCATCGAAGGACGGTCCTGCCACCGTAGCCGCAGCATCTTCGCCCGAGAGCCCCGCATCGCCCAACGAGCCCGAGACAGCGTCCAACGACTCGTCCTCGTCGTCGGGAAGCGGGCAATCGCACACCGGGGCCATTGCCGGATCCGTCCTGGGTGCCGCGGCGGTAGCGGCCGCCATCGGCGGGCTCTACGCCTACCGCAAGCGACGAGAGGCACAGGCCTACGCCCTCGGCCAGTCCAACTCGTCTTCCGCGTCCCCGCCGTCCCAGGACGACGGCGCCAACGGCGGCCAGCGAGGCGAAGCGCACACGATGCGCAACGTCGGATCGCGGGGCCCACCCGTGTCGAACCTGTGGCTCCACCAGCCTGCCGCCTGGGCCACGGCTGCAGGCGCCGGTCTCCGCAGGGCGGCCAGCTCCGCCTCGGTCCTCTCGCTCGGCGGAGCATGGAGGAGGGACGGACGCGACGCCGCCGCAGCGAGACGGGACCGCGACGCCGAGTCGATCGAAGTCGGCATCGGCGCCGCTTCGACCCCCGGTTCGCGCGGCTCTCGCAGCCCAGCAGTTCGCCGCTACGGCAACGACGACGACGACGTCGAGGCCGCCTCGCCGTACACGACGCCGCCGT